AGCAACAAAATAATCACTGCATAATATATAACAAAACCCTAAATCAGTGCAACCTGTCGCAGAAATCAGTAAAATGCAGAACTGAGCACGGATCGATGGGAGAGTTAGTCTTTGGCTGGGCCGGGCCAAAGTCCGACCCCTCCATCGTTGTCCACTCAGATGGCTCGGTCGGAAGTCCACTGCGATATTAATTTTCTAATTTTTGATGTTTATCATAAGTTTGATATATCTACATGTTCTTTTGTCTTTTAATCTAAAATAGAAAATATTACAGTACTGTACGCACTTTTCATTCTTGTGTTGACAGGTGACGTGTATGTTATGTGAGAATTCACACACAACCTGGCCTTTTTGCTTCCAAACAATTAATGGCATATAATAATTAATTAGTCAATTGCAATGTTATTTAAATTAATATAAAACATTAATCATGCATGCACCTAATGTATCCTGCATAATACAAACACTAATTATTTATATCTCAAATCCTCCTAAAACGGACTGGAGAAACTAATTAAGGATGGAAAATTGAATTACGGGATATTGATATTCATTAAGATCAAAAAAATTGATATTCATTAATCGATTGCAATGTTACTTTAATTAATTTATTGTGAAATATTGATATTCATTAATCATTGGTCAAAAAATTTACAATAAGATCAAAAGATAAAAAAAGACTATCATATATAGATCTCAAAAGATGATTATAGCACAACTGAATTTTCATTTAGAACATAAATTTTCAATATTATTGTCTCACAGTGTGTTTAGATGACCAAAAGTCCTGGCAAAGTATCAGCTTTTAACTGAATCATGAGCGCAAACATACTTAGTCATATATTGACGTATATTTGTTTTTTGATCAAATAAACATGAATTTATTTATGCGTATATATATGTTTTGTCTAACTTTTTTTTTTTCATTGTGGAACAAAATCTCATCCCACATCTTTGCCCCCACCAAAAATAAATTGAGCTAATGGGCAACGTGAGATACTCGTAACACATATATCAAAAAGAAATGATACATGCACACCCTCAGTCACACGACCGGTCACACCCCCTCTCTTGCTATAGTGCAGGGGCCCACTTGAGATTTTTTTAAAAATCTCAAGTGGGGTCCCTGCACTATAGCAAGAGAGGGGGTGTGGCCGGTCGTGTGACCGAGGGTGTGTCTGTAGCGTCACTCTATATCAAATAACGTCAGCTCTTATTGATAATAGAATTGTACAATCTCCTAAATTTTGTGATAATATCAGGGATGACTCTTTCATACAAATCGTTCTCTGGTTGCCGTACAAGGAACAAATAGATCACGAGCACAGCGGTCGAACTAGGTAATTCTCCTTCAATAAAAGTACACGTACACAAGGACCATTATTTTGCACGTGTGTACACAATATAATATATAATAAATTTATATTATGACATATGTTGCGTACGGCCATGGGATCCACTTGCTGGTCAACATCTCTTCAAAATTTTGGGCCCATAAACTAGGAACGGGTAATCTCCGGGACTTCATAAAATTCTCTTCGATAAAAGGAATTAATTGGTGATTACAAATCATAATCCTTCGTTAATTTTGAGAAGCAGGTAATTGAAACGTAAAATATGTACCTACATGCATTATGAAAATACTTGATTTTGTTGGATAGTATATAAGAATGCATGAACAGATCGAGGAAATGAAATTGAAATCGTCACAAAATTTAAGATATGGGATTAAAATATAAGCACATGCTTATGCTATCATCTTTAATTTTATGTAAATAGAAATGAAGAAGAAAAGTATATATGTAGCAATGTACAGACAGAGAAAATGAGATCGATTATGATTGTCGCAAAAAAAAAATGCAGGATTAAACTATAATAAACATACAGCCAAAAGATTAGGACTAAGCATGTTTTAGATCCAAATTTAAATTTGCATGACCTTGTGGGTCACCGTACCAGTATTACTACCAATCTGTCCTAGCTTAAGCTACCGCTTTTATTAGCTCATAACATCACACTTTGTTCATCATCATGCAATAATTTTTTTTTTAAAAAAAAGCCGCAAGTTGCGATTATAATTAAAATATCACACCGTCTTTTAAGACTCTTTAATTCTGGTCTCAAACCCAAAGATTGAAAGCCACCATCTATTCCTCTGTAACTTGAGGATTCAATATTTACTATTCATGCTACAGTAAATATTATAGTATTTTTTGCTACTGTTGCACAAACAGAAAGATCCAAGGTTCACCATTCATGCTACAGCAAATTATCGTAGTAGTATCACTGTAGCACAAGCGGGACTGAAGCGTTCAAAACATTACCGTAGTAGTATTACTGTAGCTCAGGCGAGGCTGTAGCGTTCAAAACATTACTGTAGTGGTACCACCGTAGCATTGAAGGATATGGGCATTTTAGATGGAAAAACAACAAATTGATCCGTGAATTAATTATTGATCAGCACGGATATTTTCTTTAGTGTACGGGAACACTGCACATATTTATGCGGTCATTAAGACAATTACTTTTCACATTAATATTAGCTGCATCCTAAACAATTTGTCATTGATAAGAATCCAACATCTTAGAGAATGTTGGATCAAATTTATGCAAGTAAAATTAACTCAACGCGATGGATTAATTAAAAATATAACTGCAAAATAACAAAATACTAAATCAGCGCAATTATAACAGAAATTTGTGAAGCGCATAAACGTTTCCCATTTGCACTGATACACTGTTCTATAGAAAGCAATTTATAAAAAGTTTCCGGTTTATAATTTTGATATTCAGAAGTTTCGAATTGGGTATATATTTTTTTTAAAAACCCAATACTTTGGGAGCTTCACATAAAACCGAAATTATGGGTTTTTAGGCAATGTTCCCTCAAATCGTCTGTAATTTGATATTAGCCCCTAAAACCGTAAGGTGACATTCAATTTGGCCGCTTTAAATCTGAGGGGAAAATTACTCCAAATTTAACTATTTGCTCAGAAGTTCCAGTTATACTCCTCAACTATTATATTTATTTAACAAACCATTTCTTCAAAGGGTACAAGCCCAAAACATGCAAACTAAAATCCGAAGCATAATCCTTTATCATCTATAATGGTAAAAAAATAATTCCCCAAACTCATTTTTCATCTTCTTCGACGGTCTTTTCTCTTATCTTTAGTAATCATTCGTACGGGGTTAAGAACTAACCAAACTATGACTAATAATATAATATATAATCCCCAATTTTCTATTAGTGATGAATGCGATAGATATATTTGGATTGGAATATATTAATTCGTGTTTAATACATTTTTGAAACGAGTTTTTATTCCTGATTAATACATTGATTTTACTATTGCTTAGACTTTGGTGTTTCTTTATAAAATATTTGATTATATGAATTTTGTTTATTTTTTAAAAGCATACGCATCTCAAAATCGATATATCATTATATGTTGGAGGTAAGTAAGTCATTTAAACAAGGCTTAATTTGCCACTGTGATTTTCATCAGCGCTATGAGTCTACCTAAATTTGAACTCTGATTTCCCCAAAACCATAGGCTTAGTAGTTGTTCAATAGGAGTATGAAGTGTTGACCGCGTTGAGATGTAACCTACTTATTTTTTATTTCATGAATTCTATTTCTTTAAAAAATTGTATCAAGTTTTTGTGTTAGTTGATGCTTTTCTATGATTTTAATGTTTTGATTATCAAGTCAAAATATTTAAGTTTTTGTTGAGTTGTGAACTCATTATGTATTATTCACCTTTTTCTGGAGACTCGGGATCAGTTGGAGTTGGTGGTTTCCAACTCCATAGGAGGGAGCAAGGAATAAATTGCAAATTGCTATTTGATAAATAAATATTAAAATGAGTTAAACTTTGAAGATTATGTCATGATAAGATTTTCTCCTTTAGGCTGGATTTCATTTTCGAGTAGAGAAATATATGTGCGTTTCAATGTCTGGGAGTAATATTAACTTTAATTTGGATTATAAAAAATAATTGTTTATCAAATTTGATAATAAGATAAATTTGATAGTTATTTGATAAATGTATATTGTTTGAATATTTTCGTTAACAAGTTAATCCAGCTCCTTCCATCAAGATCCGGAAATTGGAGTCATGACAAACAAATTTACTGAAAATTTAAAGGATGGACCAATTTGTACCCTTTACGTTTTGAGGAACCTAGTAGCAATACGAATGATTTGAGGGACTAAGAGCAAGTTATGGCAATGGTAAAGGACTAATAATATAAAACTTAAAAAATTGAGAGGGTTAAATCATATTTTTCCAGGTCCAGACCACTGTGAAGCATTTTGATTCCATCCCCGTCTCCTCCTTGGCGCAAAATCGCCGAAATTTCAATTTCCCCCCTTCAAAAATCCCTCCTTTTTCCTATTCCTCTCTCGTAAAAGGCCCCCCCTTTTCTTCCTCTCTCTCTGTCTCATGTAATGGCGGCGGATTTCTCAGCTCCCTCCTTCTCCCTCGGCCTCGATCTCGATCTCGATCTTGGAGAAGAAGAAGGAGACCCCTCTATCCTCAATCCGCCAATCCAGGAATCAAACCAGCAGCAAGAAACCCTAAATCAGTCGGGGCGGAACCCACCGCCTCCCTCATTCTGTCTTGGCCTCGATCTCGAATCAGGCGAATCTCTAGACTGCGACGATCTCGAAGAGCCTCGTC